CGCAAGGCACCCGCACAATATTCTTGTCGATGCATTTCTGTTTTTTAGATTTATATATTTGCGCATAAAAACTGAGTGCAAAAGTTTTGCATATTCATGGCGCTTTAAATGTCGACGGCAGCGCCGTCTGAAGTGCAACAGCCGCAGCAGTAGCCACAAAGGCAACTGCCAATAACAACAAGCCAACAATGCAGACTTCAAGCATACTCTACACAATACAAGTATGCTGATGTGGCTCAGAAGCTGCAAGCAGTGATCACATTCGATTTGCGATAGATCAGTGCGGATCTTAAGAGCTTTCCCAAATAAAAAAATTAAGGATCAACATGAAAACTGGAAATGAAAGCAGTTCCAGCACACAGACAGCTTAATAAAGTCAGCTTCAATAGAACCTGGTATATTTTATCTGGAAACATGGAACATGAGGGATAGGTTTTATTAGATACAGGAGGAAGCATAAATTCAACTTGCTCTTCAAGGCTGCACAATGACTTAGCTGAAATCCACCTACAAAATCTGTGTTTTAGAAGTAAATTCTCATTACTTAGTACTAATTTCTCTTAGCAAAACATATCATGGCCATGAAGCGATAGGCGTTGACATGCTCACAGACTCATGCTAAGCTCACAGACTTTACACTTAAGAGAATTTCTTCAGAGAATTTCTTCAAGAATTTCAGCTAGAAATAACCCCAAAAGTAAATCTAAATCTGAACACAGCAAAGAATTTGAAATATAAGTGACATGAAATATAAGTGTATTTCAGGTGCAGCTAACCAAAGCTAAGAAAACTTCTGAAAACTTTTTGTGCATATGCCGCAGATGCTGAAGAGAGGCAGATAGAGTGAGGGAAAGAGTGAGTGTGTGTGTTTCAAAGGGGGGAGAGAAAGAGAAAGAGCCAACGCAAAAAAATCGTAATAATATCAACTATAAAAGTAGCAACATCAGTTGGCAGCTGTAAGCAAACCTAGCGGCTGACAGCCAGACGGACAGACAAACAGACGACCGTCACAGACATATTGTGTCTGCAAAACTTTGTTGACAACAGCAACCACAACAACAACAACAGCAACAACGTGGATATACAACAACAAGGAGACTGTTCCAGTCGAGTATCTAGCGGCTAAAAACCGCGCAATGGAGCGCATGTGGAAACAATGAAATTATTGCTTAAATTTATGTGCTCTCTATGAAGTGAGGCTGCTGCTGCTGAATGAGGAGCGCCCAACCAGCATCACGCCCCCACACAATTTGCCTTGTAATTGTCGACATGTCAGCACATTAAACGGCTATAAAACGTTGGCAAAATGGCAAATCAAAGCAACTTGTCCCACGTCGGCTAACTTTTCTAATTTACGACCATGGAATGCAACAGTTAAGCGCTTGTGGCCTTTTGAACTCTCGACCCCGGCCACATTTACATGCACACAAACCAACCTCAACCAGCACGCCTTCCTCCAGTCACAGCCCCGCTGAGTTGGGCTGGGATTGGTTAGGTTGGTCTACCTGCGAAGTTGCTCTAAAATTTATCATGACACTAATGAGCATGAAATGGGACAAGGTTTATTAAATTTCCTTTTTAAAATGCGCACATGGCAAGTTGCCCAGAGGAAGATGCGCTGCAGTAGCAGCAGCAGCAGCAGCAGCAGCTACGAGAGGCAACAAGTTTTTTACATTTTTTCTCTCTTTCTTTGCTCATCAGCACAAGCAGGCGACTAGCTAGATTGCATCGAGGCGAATGTTGGCGACATGGAAGTGGCGCCATTGCGACTTCGCACTCTCTTTTGCTACCTATCAGCTGCCTAACTTTGGCACCACCAACACCCAACACACATTCGTCCCCTGCCACACACATAGACAGACGTCCGAGCAGCTGCTGCCCGGCCAGCAGAATGAAAAATGTCCGCAAGTGCGAAAATGAATCTGCCCCATGTTGCAATTTATTATGCCAACATAATAAATATTATATACAGTTGGTGTGTCAGACACTCACTGCCTCCACTGACGGCCCTTTGGGGAGGGCCTCCTCCTCGCCATTGTTGGCTCACTTTGTAACAGTTTGAGAAATGTTTAAAGCATTGCCACACTCCTTCCTAGCCTAATTGTGGCTCAAGCAAAATAAAGTTAAATGTATTCAGCAAATAAGAAACCTCAAAACTTCCTCTCTGCAGATATTTTCATATGTTTTTTTACAAAAGTAAAAAGAAACAACCTGACTGAAGCTTTGTAAGTTAAGCAAGAACAAAAAATATGATTCAACAAAAGTTTAATTCATAGAAATTAAATCAAAATATTAAAGGAAGCCGTACGAAATCATCTGTTGGTCCAAGAGCCCAGAAAATTAAGAATTTTATTTCATATCCGTCCGTCCATCTGCCCATATAAATGCAAAGCATTTCGCCGCTATTCAGATTTATTTTTGATACTCCAAAATTATGCAAGGGAACTACTGTAAGCTTCCTTCATTGATCTACTAAAATTTCTACCCCCACTGAATAGTAATTTATGAGATACTTGAAATGGAAATATATTCGTAAGCATCAAATATCAATCTTATACATATTCAAACGAGAGCAAGTGTAATGCCTACTTTTCTTAAGCTTTGCAAGGACATCACTGTTGGGCTTGTCAGCTAAGTGGGCTATATATGAGCCGCTCATTAGGGATTGGCAAATAGAAAAATATTTATATATAGTAAATGCAGCTCATATTGAATGAGGATTAATAGGCCTTCATATATATTTAAAAGCGACAATAAAAAAAATTTGCTTATCATAAAACTAATTTGTGCTAGATCTTATCTCTGAAAAACTAAGATCATTTAATATCCCAATCCAAATAATAACATTTGTGTGCCGTGAAAGGGATCACCTTCTACCTAATACTTAGTTATCGTTAACGAACTTTAAGTAGACAAGGCATACAAGCAACTCGCATGCACATAATGGTATATACCTTGATTATAGTGTGGTAAGAGAAGACATTTTAATCATAATTAAGAATACTTTGCTCTGCTCAAGTTGATTTGAACGCCAAATCTTTCCAGCTCTGCACATTTTCATCTATGCATGAGATCTTCCTATTTCGGCGTTAAATAAATTTAATATTGTTGGCCTTTCCACTTAGCACATCTAACCGTGCTGTGGAGGTTGTTTGTTTTGAACTTAACCGTAACCCTTTCGTTCCCTCGTGGGTGTACGACAGTTTTTGGGTACGCACCCATAAATAAATCATTCAAATTGTCAACAGGAATTTATTTGCGTTGCGTTTTCGTTTCATGTAAGTTTCTTGCGGTATCCCAAGCGGAAATGAACCTCACAGAGGCAGTGGGCGTCGGACTGGGAGCGAGCAAGGTGATGATCTGGGTGCCATAAAGGCTCTCCGGGCAGCAGAGAGAGGCAGCATCACTACATTTTGCTTTTGTCAGAGCTTGTCAAGTTGCTGGCAGCGCAGTCCGTCTCAGTGTCTGTTTGAATTTGTAGATTTATGCAACTGTATGGGTGCCGACTAAATGTGTCCGTGTGTGTGTGTGAGTGTGTGTTAATGTAATAGTTTATGTTGTTGTCGTCTTGGTCGCCCTTGCGGTAGGCAGCTTTATTATAGTTCATATACCCTAACTAACGGCATCACATTAATTAGATATCGCTAACAATATATGAATTTCAAAAATGATTACTATTAAGACTACTCGTAGATAGTTTTTCTATTTTTAAAGGTCATAGTATTATCGCAAGGTAGTCACTATTTCTCTTGTTCTCTTGTAATTCTACACATATTTTTTATTATAGTTTTTCCAGTTATGTAGCCAATGAACAGATGAATTTTGTATATTAAAATTAATTTATTTTCTTTCAAATTTAAGATCTGAACTAACCTAAATCTTTATCGCAATCAACATCATTTTTATATCAATTATTGTTCCTTTTATCAATCAGTTCTCTTATTTTTTCACTATTCTTGCAACTTGCAAAGTTTTTTACAAATTTAATTTCTTTACAGGCAGCAAGCCAGCTCTAAAAGTAGTTCAGTTCATATTTCGTTTAGTGATTATTAATTTTCTTTAACTAGTTTTATAATGTTATACATATTTTCTAATAAATTATATTTATATATAGTATTTATTATATTCAATTGAAACTATATCTTTCCATTTATAGATTACATTGCAAAGACATTTCAGATAGCTGCACAAAAGTAATATATATTTTAATAGTAATTCCAATTATGTGTTAAAAACTTTTCGACAATTTCGTCTGCTAAAATATTTGTTCTATATTTGTATTAAGGCATTTTATCTGAATATTCTGAATGAGCATCGAATAATGAAATAGATTAAAGTGTGTACACATGTGTCTTACCTAGGCAGAGCGATTTATAGAAGCGATATTTCTTGGCTGTTGTTATATAAGCAAATTTATTTGTATGCTGTTGGCACTGCTGCTGCTGCTGTTGCTGTTGCTGTTGCTGTTGCTGCTGCTGTTTGCTTTTCATTTCCGGCCACGTCGACAAATCACAAACAACCAAAAAGGATATTATCTGCAGCAAAACTGTTTCCGTGGCCACACTATCGTCGCTGCGGTGTCCCCATCTTTTTTGGGGCTTGCTCTGTCATGTTTATTTGGATAAATAATTTGCAAAACATTTTTCGTTTTTCATTGTGTGTTTTCTTAATGGTCTTTTAAGTGGTCTCCATTCCACATCAACGAGCATCTGAATGCCTGCCCGACTTGCTAATCTTAACCAGGCTATCAAGTCGAGCCAGAGACCCCTTTGGCCAGTTGAATGTAAATCTTTCACTCACGTGCGCAAATAGAAACCCAAACTAATTTCGGGCTTTCAATGGAAGAACGTCGACACAACAATTTCCAGCACAATTCCAATGCTAATTGGCTGGCCAAATGTTTGTGCCTCTGAAATTTCCACTTGTCATCATTGACGACTCACTTGAAGCGCTGCTGATTAGACATACGCCAGCAGTTAGCTTCGAAGCGTGCAGCAGATATGTCTGGAACGGGCAACAGATTCATTAGCTTTGCATTGGTAGCCTTAGGCTGTATTTACTGTACCAGCGCGTCGGCCAATCTGACCGAATTCCTGTCGCACCGCCAGCGGCGTGGACTTATCTATCAGAACAGCGGCTCTATTAAGTTCAGTATAGGACCCTCGTTGCCGATTCCTTTGGGCGACCCTGTGACGTTCCGCTCTACGGTCCTTTCGTTCACGCTGCAGGGCGGCACCTACAGCTTGCCAACCACTCCAATTTGGCCCTGGGATAAATGGGAATCCACCTTTGCCCGATCTCTGCAGCAAATGAGGCGCAACATCGAAAGGCACACGGCCAACGGAGGTGTTAAATACGCGGACGATGCCCGACAGCTGGTGTACACCGCCATGGAGGAGTACATAGGCAGAAGAAACAATGATATGATTGTGGGCAGACAATGCCTGCTGCGTTCCATATGCGAGAATGCCCAGGTGCATCATCATGTAGGCGTCTTCTCCGAAATACTAAACATTGTGCTGAGGTGAGCAAACAACTCCAACCTTTCCTCTGGCATCACTTTACTCTCTATCCTGCTCTCTCTTTACCTCTCGTTCTCAATTTCTCCCTTTCTCTGTCTGTTTTTGTAGTCCGGGCAAAGCCGATTTAGATAACTGCTATCACGATGCCTTTGCGGCTGGACAGGCGGGTGCTAATTGCCTGGCCGTATTTGAGGCCTGTCCACGTGGCATGAACTTTTTGGACGAGCTGTTGGTTACGGAGCGTCACTGAAATTTGATTAATTGGATTTTCGCCATGGATCGATTGATGCATTGGATTGGATAACAATAAAGTTTTGGCAAATCAAAATGCATGTCTAATGCTTCTTGTTGTTGCGACTGCTGCATAATTTGCGACTCTCTGTCAAAGGAGCACGCAGTGAACATGTGGCATGTGGCATGTGGTATGCGGCAGGAAACGGCTATAGGGGCGGCCGCACAAGCAAACGAACAGAACACAGAGCTAAACAAACATTACAGCTTACACGCAGCTTCTACTCATGGAAATAACGTAATTTGAGTATTATGGCAAAAGGTGTTGCTATTGCCTTTCATTCATTTTCTCTTTGGACGAAATCAAATACGAATCAAATACTGATATAAACAGAAATAAGTTTCGTTTGGGTAAGCGGAGGTTTTATATTTTTCATTCATATTTTCAAGTGAACTTTGACCTCTACCAAAGCAACTCATCGAATTATAGTGAAAAATAATTATGAAAACTTTAATATGCCCTCGTTCTATAGCATTCCTATATTTCAATTCATGTTATTCATTCTGTGTGAAAAATCGGGTCCATAAACCAAACTAGAGATGAGGAGTCATGCTAAGCATAAATTAAACAATCGGCACTATAAGTTGGTCCCATTAGCTCTTTATAATACGCTTCTGTGTAACATATATTAAAAGTTTGGTTTTCATTTCATGAATTCGCTGCCTGCATAAACCTCACAGCCAGTGGAATGTTACCTATTCCTATGCGACATCAGAAGTTCAAATACCGCAAAGTTGCACAACTGCTCCTGCTCTCTCTCTCTCTCTCTCTATGCCTCTTCCGCTATATCTGTCTACCTGTCTCAATCACTCCCTCGCCTCTATGTCTCTATGCTTAACTCCCTGTCAACATTGTTCACCCAACAAACAGCCGCCCCATCAGCAGCAGCAGCAGCAGCAGCAGCAGCGTTGTTCGCGTTGTCATAATCACATTTGAATTAGCTGTGCATACAAAGCGACAAGCGATAGTCAAACAGGGTGCCTCAACTACATGCTGATGCCTAGGCGCAGCTATTGTCTGAAGCACCCGGTGCAGCAGCGCTGTTGTCAACGCGTTAGCCACCTGGCAAGCCTAATGTGCCACTTAAGACGCATTTATTGTCTGTCTGTCTGTCTGCTGTCGTAGTTGCACTTGTTGTTGTTGCTGCTACAGCATTTCCATTTAATTGAAGCCATTGTTGACAAAATGGCGGTCGCACGCTCGCTGCACAGCATTAGCACTCCGCATGCCGCAGACACAGCCACAGCCACCAGCCAGCGTTTAAGGGGCGTGACCAGAATTTGATAAGCATTTGAAATTGTTTAAATAGTTTGCTTTTTAATTCAAGTGCATTACAGATTGGACCAGCCAAAAATATAAAAGAAATTTAATAATTTACATCCACTGCGAGCGCATCCAAGGCACTCGCACCTCTGGGACAGTCGAGGAACTGGTGTATACAATCCACGCCCGCCAGGCCCGCGGCGTAAGCTTCTGTGTAGACCTTCTCGAGCCGTGCCTTGCCGGGTCTGCAATAGGGAATGAAGCTTAAGGACAATTAAGATGACTATCTGTACGGCTTACGTTAGTAGCACATTGAGTAGCTCAGCCATGATTCCCACGTGCTGATGCACTTGCGCATTCTCACACATTGCACGCAGCAGGCACTGGCGGCCGCGACCCGGGACATTGCTCTCGTTGTCCATGTAGTGCTCCAGTGCGGTGTAGGCAAAGAGACGTGTGTCATCCTCGTGCGATGCGTCTAGCAGACGTATCTTCTCCTTGAGAGATCTGGCAAAAACGGACTCCCATTTGTCCCATGGGTAGAGTGGTGCTGAGGGCAATGTATAGCCTCCAAAGTGCAGCACATAGAAGTTCACAAAGCTGCGCCACACAACCGGATCTTGCAACTGAACGGCCATCACGGGGCCAACCACTAGTCGAATACTGCCTCCGTTCTGGTAGACCAGCTGATGGCGCTTCTGGCGCGCCAGTAAGTAAGTCGTCAAGTTCTGCGTAGGTGCAATCGCATCGTACGAGCAGTGCAGCAGTGGCACTAGGCAAATCAACAGCAGCAAGCAGGTTGTTAAATGCATTACAAACTCCTAAGGCAGTTGTCCGTGAAGTGCACAGGGCGTTGGAAGAATGATCGTTGACAGCAGACGAAGCGATCAGAAGTTTGAATGTGGCTCAATACGGGCAAAATAAACATTTGCGCATACAATTAGCAGCCGAATTGGGTTATAAAGTTATCAGCTTGGCAGCGCGATTCTTACAGTATGACTAAGAAGCGCGCCTTTTCAGCTAGCTACAAATATTTTGAATACACAAAACATTTTTGTCTTATTCTCGCCTTTTATATTATCAATACAAATTCAAAAGAACCGTTGCATAAAATAGAGCTGCCAACTTGAGGAAATTAAAAGTTGGTTTTGTGCAAGAGTTTTTCAATAATTAAGTTTGTTACGTCAACTGAGATAAAAATTAATTCAAAAACAATTTAAATGAATTTTTAAAATATAGCATGTCTTAGTATACAGTAAATACGCCAACAAACCAGTTTTGTGAAACTGGGTCTTTTTTAAATTGAACATTATAAGCATGTGTATGATTAATAGTTCAATGAATAAGCAGAACTATAATTAGGAGTAAGAATTGTTTACTCAAAAATATTAGTGTTTTACTTGTCATTTCAAGTAGCCAATCAAAATTTAAAATACGCGCTAAAATAAAAAGCGCTGCCAACCTCTTTTATTCATGGGTCAATAACAGTGTTGTACAATATATAAAATCCACATGTCCTCAAATTAGTATGACCGTAAGTCACTGCTGCAAAATTCTAAAATGTGCCCAAATTAATTACAAAAACCAATTTAATGAATTTCGGTCACACCTTATCGAGCTAGCATTCAACTTTATTAGACATCTGTTTAAAAATTAACTAGAAAAATGAGCAACGAAGCGGCTAAAGCCCAGATCTCCCAGGAAAAAATTGTTGCCCAGTTCCAACAGCTACGGAATGAACAAAGAAACTTGGCAAACAGCCTCAATACGCTAGAAATGGATCTGCGCGAACACAAGTGAGTCAGAATGGACCGCTAAACCTAACCTCCAAAATATAAACAATAAATTGACGCTCTATATTCCAAAAGAACTGTGATAGAAACACTAAATGCAGCGGATCCGGACCGCAAGTGTTTCCGTCTCATTGGTGGCGTGCTGTGCGAACGGACTGTTAAAGACGTCCTGCCCCAGCTGATGGACAACAAGGATTTCATTGCGAAAACCATTTCAACGGTAACAGTTGATCTGAGCAAAAAGGGTGTGGAACTTAACAAATTCAAAGAGGAGCACAACATCAAAATACGCGGTGAACAAATAGGCACCGAGGCCAACAAGTCGGCGGACTCAGATAACGCCAGCAAATCGGAGAATCGCAACGTGCTAGTCTCCTAATTAACCCAACAAAGGAATACCAAACAGCAGACGAAACGTGAAATGTGAACGAAGCGTATTTATTGTGTCCATTGAGGTTCTTTGTGCGGCGGCACTACAATAATTAATGCATTGATTATGATTCTAATGTTATATGTAATTTTAGCTATAAGGCGCCGTTACACACAAAAACGCCACCATCCATGCCCCCCTCACATCCCTACACCCATCCAGCCATCCACCCATACATTCACACACTCACCCAGCCAGCCCACAATTAAAACGAAAAGAGCTAATTTGAAATGGCAAATGGATGCACAAGCTGAGTGATTTTATTGACGCTGATAATCCCGCTTGCCGCCCGACTTGCTCATCAGGCGCACATTCTTGATGCAGATGTCGTGGGAGACGGCCTTGCACATGTCGTAGACAGTGAGTGCTGCCACAGAAACGGCTGTTAGAGCTTCCATTTCGACGCCAGTCTGGCCGCTACAACGTACAGTGGCCACCAGGCGTACGTAGTGCTGCTGCTCTATCAGCGTGGCCTGCACCCGTACCGAGGACAAAGAGATATTGTGGCACAATGGTATCAAGTATGAGGTTTGCTTGGCTCCCATGATTCCGGCCAATTGGGCCACGCTGAGAACGTCGCCCTTGGCTAGCTCGTTGGCTGCAATAAGCGCTGTTAGTCGCTCACCCACATGTACGGTGGCCTCTGCACTGGCCGTGCGGGTGGTAAGAGCTTTGTCTCCGACGTCCACCATTTGCGCCTTGCCTTGGGCGTTAATGTGCGTCAATCCACTGCAGTTGCGCTGCTGTGCGAGCTGAAGTTGATGAGGATGAAGCAGAGTCCTGCTCCTGTCGCTGCCGATACCTGCAAGCAAACAGTTCTGGGGAATGTTGTGCGAGCTCTGTGCTAGCCGCCTATGAGTATCATTGGGCGATTTTCCATTTGCGACAGATTCAGCATGCCTGCGTAGGATTAATGCGCCCATTAACACTGACAACTATACATGAGAATAACATTTTGTCACCAGCACCCACCTGCATGTTGTCGCTTCTTGCGCTGCACTGCGGCGCCTATGAGGTCGACTAGCTGTTGCTCTGTGCAATCCTCACTACGCATGGCATCGCGTAATGAGAATTCTTTGTTGCCAAACAGGCACACTTTGATGTTGCCATCGGCAGTCAGGCGCAGACGATTGCAGGTGCCGCAAAAGTGCTCTGTCATGGAGGTAATGAAGCCCAATTGGCCAGCAAAGCCTGGCACTGCATACGCCTTGGAGGTGTCGTTCGGGCCATTGGGCAACGGTTGAAACTCTGGCCATCGTTGACGTATCGTCTGCACCGTTTCCTTAAATGAGATCAATCGCTCCGTCTGCCACTTGTTGCCCGTGAAGGGCATGTATTCTATGAACCGCACATCGACAGGCCGCTCCCGCGTGAACTCGACAAAGTCGCAGATCTCGTCCTCATTGAAGTTGCGCATCAGCACGCAGTTGACCTAAAACAATGGAGAGTTGCTCAGTCCAGAATTTAAATATAAAGTTTACATTGTTCAGACCTTTGGTCGGTAGCCCAGCTGAATGGCTAGATCGATACCCGCTATGACCCGCTCCCAGCCCTTGCGTCGTGTTATCTGCTCGAAGCGCTCCTTACGCAATGTGTCTAAGCTGATGTTGAGCGAATCCAGGCCAGCGCGTTGAAGCGGCAGCAAAATGCGCGTCAGCACTAGCCCATTGGTGGTGATGCCCACGTGCTCGAGCTGGGGCAGTGCCTTTAACTGTGCCACCACCTCCACAATGTCGCGTCGCACTGTCGGCTCGCCGCCCGTCAGGCGTATCTTACGCACGCCCTGCTCCACAAAGATGCGTGCCAGACGCAGCACCTCCTCGGTGCTCAGCAGTTGCGATTTGGGCTGTAGCGGCACACCCTCGGCCGGCATGCAATAGTCACCTGTAATTCAATACCTCATGTATTTCACCATTGCTTATCAAGTTTTTGTCTAACACTTGGACAGATAACACTGACAGGCTGGCCAGCATTGAGGTCCACTTACAGCGCAAATTGCAGCGTTCGGTGAGCGAAATTCTCAAATATGTGTGATGCCGTCCAAAGCTGTCTGTCAGGGCCGAGGTGGCTGCTGCGCTCTGTATGCGAATGCACTGTCACTCATCTCAAAATCTATTTTTCGCAAATTATATGCTACTCACCTGCGTGACAGACGCTTTCATCGTGTTATTGTCATTTTTAATATCAAGTTGTGCACCTGTTGCCGCACTCTTTGTACTTGTCGCCAACTTGTGGAACTGCGAACCGGTTGCCATGCCTGTCGCCTGTCTAAGCTGCGCCGTACATTGCAGCAGCAACAGATTCGAGCGTTTCACCAGCAATCGCATTTGATTGATGTTTTTGCGCTGTGGCTTGTTGAGGCTATAATCAGAATACTATTGACTCGGCAAATTGGTTACCTAACCTACAATTCGCTGCTGGGGGCTTGCGGCTTGATTCCTGCTGTGCCATCAAAACATTCCAATTAGAATCACTTCTGATAAGCAGAGCATTTAGACGCGACAATGTGCTTACCTCACTAGCGAAAGCGGTTGTAATTCTCACTCTTATTGCTCTGCACCGGCTATACGAACAGCAACAAGCGACTGTTGTTTATATACTGAACGCTCAGATCATATGGCACTTGCACACTGTGAGCTTTGATCCAAAAGCTCTGCAAACATACTTACGCACACGCACACAATCGCAATTGCAAGCCGCATTGGTGTGGGAACATGTAAGTCTAATTGCTGAATGAGAAAACTTTTACTCTCCTTCGTTTGCTTGTACTCTTACTATATGAATAGATTTCATTTCATTGCAAATTTAATACTATAAAAATATAAGAGCAATTTGATGAATGATTAGTTTATATTTGTAATTCTTAATTTTTTTGTATATATTTAAAAAAAAAAGAATTTAATTGCTAACAATATCTGAATAATTAACAGTATATTATATTGTTTACATATCAGATGAGTGAGAGAAAAGCTTATCACAATCCACACTAACCCCCAGTATCATTTATCAAATGGGTAAGCTGAAGTTTTTTTAATGTTTGTAACGAATTGAAGGAGGAATTTTCAATAGTTTTAGCCTAAACAGATGATCGATGATCGATTTATATATTAAAAATAAAAATTAATTTTGTTGAAGAGCTAGGTAAGCAGTCGAGCCTCTGACCTATATTAGGCAAATATCCCTAATGACTGCTAATTCGCAATCAGGTCTTTCCCGATAAAAAGTCACCATGTCATTAAAATTAATAAAATGGTTTTAATTTTATATGTTATAAAATATATAATTTTTATAAATTTACATACTGAGTCCAAACATTTTCTTTGATATAAAAGTGTGAAACACTTTTAAAGAGATGGATTTCTCAAAGCTGAAGTCAGAACACACAATCTTTTATTATTTGTAAGTCATTATTCCGCCCCTCTTGTACTACGCCACTGACCCAGCCTTTGATCCAGTGAGATTTTACCACTTGCTTGGTCAAATCTTCCACATTTAGTCTTCTGCTCGCCGCGCTGCTGTTCGGTTCGTCGCTGGGCTGCTGGAGCATTGTTTATGTCGGTCGATCTCTCGCTTTGTTTATTGTAATTTGGACAAACACATTCACACATTTGCGCCATGCATAGTATGCGTCTATGGAATATGAAGCGGGTCTCGCTGATGCTCTGCGCGGCCTTCTTGTTATACTTATTTGTTTTCTCTGGCGGCTATCACAAGTATCAAATAGACCGCGTTATCGACAATGCGAGACCGGAAGCAGTTTGGGAATATGTGGCGGACTTTAACAAAATGCGCCTGCTGAATCCCACAATGTGAGTAGATGCTCACATTTCGGATAACAGCTACTAACAATCCATGCATCCATACATCCATGCGCCAGCATAAATTTTAAGATTCTCGCTGACCAGGGCCACGCCCACGACTGGCGCTACACGGTGAGATATACGGAACGGCTAGCGCACTGGCCGCACTGGCTAAACGAAGCCACCGCCCACTATGTGGTGACCAAGACCCTGCCGGGGGTCCATCCCCCAGCCTGGTCCATCAAATCGATACACGAAACCTGCTTCCTCGGCGGCCACTATTGCTGTACGTAATCGAGTAGTGCCAAGCACATGTTTGACTGTCTTGCATGTGTTTGTTTGCTGTTTTATTTTCAGTGCACTCGCGTAGCGAATTCAGTTTCAGCTCCCTTGGAACGGATACATATGCCAACGAGAAGATCCAATATCAGTGCCCGCCGTTCCTAGGCACCGCATGTCGCCGCGAGCTCGAGTTCCAGAGACGCGCTGTTATGTACAATCTGACTCACATTTTCAAGAGAACCTAGTCCCATGGCAGAACCATAATAAAAGCTTCGTTTGGCATTCTATTCAATCTTTTGTTCTATATATGTTTGCATATTCACATCTAAACGTTTTAAAATTTCATCAATTGCTCACAATATTTAGATGTTTAACTAAATTAAGATACAGTAATTGTTGTGAAACATTTTTCCAATTATAACAATACGATTAAAATCGACAATTCAAGCATAGAATGGAATATAGTATACAAATTGAAATGCTTGTCCCCTAACATATACAAATATATCTATTTTTTGTATTTGAAGAGTTTTATAAATAATTCATCGATCTGTGTACGGTATACAGATCCATTTGAACTTTCACAGCGTATATCCCTTATAAAGAAGAACTTTGTATTAAATGAATAGATTTAACCAACACAATTTGATTCTCTAATCTCTTAACTTAAGGTACAGTTGTTATAAACCTTTAAAGGACATTACAATTGAAGTCTCTGAGTACATTTCTATTGAAAAAATGTTTTTCAGTGAAGTCTGATAGGCGGTTGTATAGACAATGTGAAATACATTTCGATAGAAGTTTATGCAAATGGCTTAGCTTGACTCGCTGCATAGTCTTGAGGCTCTTTAGTCTTTTAAATAGATCATGTGGTCAGCATAATATCAAGTTACTTGTCCAACTCAAGTCGCTTCCGTTTCTTGGATCCAGCACTGCGTGCCAACCGAGCACGCTCCGCTTTCTCGGATGGTTGCACGGGTGTGCTAGGCACGCTCTGGGACCCACCTGAGATGGCAGTGCCAAACCAACGTGTCAGCTTTGTAGATTGAGTGGATTTGATGGCTTTGGGTGACTTGCGCAGCAATTGGCTGGATTGAGTACGCTGGCCACTGTCCTCCGAAGCGCCACTAGCGCCAATCAGATAGTTAGTAATTTTGTTACGTTGTGCCAGCTGCTGTTGCTGCACGGGCGACACATTCCCCGTGGAGTCGACACGAAGTCGACTGCCGAATTCGCCATTATTGGTTATCTCGAAGATGTCATCGTCCTGCAAGGTCAATCGACGTTGTGGCAGCTGTTGCTTGGGACTGGACAAATTCGGCAACAACTGAATACCTGACTCGTTATCCTTAGAATGATGTGGCTCAAACATTTTTTCCAAAAGTTCAAGGCAGGATCGATCACGCTTCTTTTTAGCCGATATGCCAAAAGTTGCGTTTTCATACTGCTGCGGCTGTTTCACCTCCGAGCCAAATATTTTGAAGCCCTCAAATTGCACAGGCTGCGCTAGCGTTACTTGCGACGCTTCGGAGCAGTTGCTGAATATGTCAGGAGATTTGTTGACCGAACCACGCTGCTGAGCCAGCAAGAGGCCAAACCGCGAGGTGGTCGGCTGGGGTTGTTGCTCCTTTGTAGGACCTGCGCGCTTCCTCTTCAATGCTCGAGTGCGTCGACTTTGCGATGGCTCAGTTGACGGCGGCGAGCTTTCATCATAGGAACTATTGATCACCACAACGTCTGGCTTCTGATTCGGACTAGTTACGACAGCCACCTCGGAATCGCTGAACAAATTCAGAGCAATGGGCAGCATCAGTTGAGTTGCCGGCGGTACGTGAGGTACCCGAAATGCAGGCAGATCCAAGTCATCAAGTTCTGCAAGGTTCTCCGGGAGCTTTTGCGCGCATTGCAAATACGAGCTATCGGACAATATAGAGCCAGAGCTTAGTAGCTCAGGCGTTGGAGCGGGTGCAGCTATCACGGGTTTTGAACTTCCTTTTTTTTTATTGCCATGCTGAGAATTCCGTAAATTAGGCGTGGCAGCTGAGGAAGCCGTTAAGATCTTCAGACAGGCCTTACCGTTCCTTTCATTGTTCGGAACAGAATCGGCTAGTTTTGAGGTGACAGCGGACGAGGCCTCTGCGATTTTAGAACTGACTTTTTCAATCCCTTTATTTCTAGGTGAAGAGGTGAGTTTGTTGGAAACATGTTCCTTTAGCAGTCGGCCCCTCATCCCCCTTTTGGGTTCCGACTGCTCCACTTTCGTTGCTATTGACTTAGATTTCTTAGGCGTGACAGCCATCTCTTGCTTCATTGCGGACTTCTCCTTTTTGGCCTTGCTGCTTTTGGGAGTTTGACTTGTATCGGAATTGCGTTTCTTTTTAGGTGTTACTTTTTTATCGTAATCCAGCGATCTCATCTGCGTCATATATTTGCTGTATGGCCGTGAATCCGCGGAACGCGTAAGTCTTTGCATTCCACGTGTCTGCCTAGGTTGCATATCAATTGATTTGTTTCTGTTAATACGTGTGGACCTGGGTTCAGTTTTAGGCGTAACTGGAGGCAGTGTTTCACGTTTAGGTGTTTTCGGCTCAGGTTTTATAAGGGACTCAGGTTTAGCCAGTGTATTCGGTGACCTTTTAGACGAAGCCTTGGAAGTATGTCTCAACCTAGCGTTAAGTATTTTTCTTGGTTTCTTCGATGTTTCAGGCAGCTCTTCTGCCTCTGATTCGGTGAGCTCCGCTGACTTTGGATCTTGTGCACGTTTTGTGTATTTTCGCATGGGTTTGACCGTCTGTGAATTTGATGCCATTGGTTCCAACTGTGGCAATGTCGTTGGCGATACAATTATTTCACAATCATCACTGGAAAGCAATACCACGTTGTTGTTGAACTCCTCGATATGGGCATTCGCTTCCGTTTCTGCTTCTGATTCGGATTCCAAGACTAAAGGTTCCATTACAACCACGTCATCACTGTGCTCAGACAGCGATATTTTATCTGCCTCCTGACGTTGAGTCAACTGTTGTTCCCTTTTAAGACTCATCAGACACTCGAATATTTCGTCTGTGTCCCCCGTCGAGCAAATGTCTGATGTTCTAGAATCTATAGTTGAGCCGCTTATTGTGCTATTGCTATTGTTTTCGCCCAGCCAAAGAGATAGGTTCCTCTTGTATTGTTCGGGCGTTACAAGAGGCAGATATGAATCGAATTGATGGCGATAACGACGAAGACGATAATCTCTGCAAAAGCAAGAAAAAGGTTAACTGTTATTAAGAAGAATATTAATGTAAAGTTCAAGTTTTAACAATTTGTTTAATTATTATGTAAATAAAAAGTTAGTCTTAAGCAAAAATTAAAAACAAATATATACATATACGTGTATATATATATATTTATTTAAATATATCAACATGAATCGTTTGATTTACTGCTGATGTTCACCAACTTGATGTATTCGCCAAGGACACCTCGTTGCTTATAGTACTCCTCGAGATCGACACGTTTGCTTAGCACCTCATTAACATCTGGTAGATGAAAGTTGCTCTCAAAACTTTTAAAGCTCTTGAATTGATGATCCAAACACCCTCCCAAATGCATCACCTTATAAAGCAGCCTAACATCGGACTAGAATGAGGATAAAGTTAACATATTACTAACGTTGTTTATATTTATATCTTTACCGTTATGTCCACACTAGATATCACAATATTCACTTTGCCCTCAAATTGCTTCAACAGCATGGAAGTGCAAAAGTTATTATTTAACGTATAGCCGCGATGGTCAACTATAACGTAGTCAAACTTTAGCTTGCTGAGATCGCCTATGCTGCGTAATACGCTCCACTTGCTTAGATAAACACTATGTGCCGACTCTGTAGTGTCTATAAGATAATCGTAAACAAATTTATATTAAATGATATATAAAATAAAAGGGAGTATTGGAGAGTACCACTAACGTCCTTAATAACGCATACGGGCAAATCTGTGAGGATGCCCAAGTGAAACTGCCAGCCAGCCAGCAACTGATCATCGTTCTGCAATACAATAAGCGTCTTCTTGGACGTTCCCAGTCCACTTAACAGAGCCACAACGGACGCCGTTTTGCCCAACCCGCTCTCATCGTTCAATATGCAAAACTCTTGTTTGGACAGCCGTTTATAGAGAAAACGCACTGCTTCAAGTTGAAAACACTTTAGGTACTGCGTCGTTTGGCTGCCAATCAGCACATTCTCGGAGACGCGAAGTTCCGCTGTTCGCTCTGAGACAAAGTGATACATTTGCCTCTCCTTCGACTTTTTTATATGTGGGCTGTTTCAGTAGACGTGGTGCAGCGCCAAATAGATGGCCACGAGTATGTAGAGCAGCTTAAGATATGAAAATATCAGAAACATTGAAAACGAGCCAATTATCATCCTCTTGGAAGTCAACGGTCCGTCGACATATTCCGAATTAAATATATCGACCAAGTTGTTATTATTGTTGTTGTTGTTGTAGACGATATGCATGTGTGGAGAAAATGCAGCAGGTAGACGTGGGAAAAAGGGCGCGTATTTTGCGGGTGGGAATAAAAGTTGGCTTTTTGTGCTTTTTCTTATGGTTGCTGTAGGTGCAATCAACTAGAAATATTAAAAATCATATTCAGCTATAATTTCAATATTAAATGTATATTGTTACCGTAGCTTAATCACTAGAAAAAATATTGTTGCTTGTTGTGTAGCTTTGTTCACGCTTTGCAACACTATACTTAGAACAAGTTAGAGACGAGTATTGCTCAGAAATACCGATGGATACATTGCAAGTACTTACTATGAGACGACCATTCAAAGTAGCTCAAAAGAAATTTTAAATAAAAATCAAAATGTGGCGTTTATTTAAAGTGCTTTATGTAACTATTAATCTTTTTTGCATACACTGTCCAAATGTTGTAAATTTGCTATGTGGTAGAACAATCAGTATAGATAACCAGAACTATGACTCGTTACTTTTGCCTCGGTACTTTACAGTTACAGCGGCAATTCCACAAGTGTTTGGACGCGCATCATAACAATTGAATTAAAACTTAATCATGCTTGTGGCCAAAGATAAAGCGCCAAGTGCGAAAAGAAAACGTGCCGAGGATCCTCTGACTGGTACCACAGCGCCACCGCCTGCCAAACAGAGAATGGTTGTCACACCTTGGCGGGACACGTGCGTTTAATGCATTGATTTGCTCGAGATAGTTTCGTTAAAATTAATCTTTTCCATTTTTAGCACAGAGTTTAGCACTGTATATGATTGGTTGTTTGGAAAGCTGACGGTACCTGCAAATCGTCGAAAGGCGCTTAGTTATATGCGAATATGGAACCTGCGTCGGGGCAATCTATGTCCGGCTTCGGTGTTAGCGACTGCCGTTCTGGTCAAGGCGCAGCTGGAAGATAAAGAAGGCAGCAGCAATATACAGTCAACATATGCCAGCGCCTTTACACGCTTCTTCAACTTTATGTCTTCGATTATGCAAAATTACAATATGGCCAGCATGTATGCCACGGCACAACAACTCGGCCTACAATCTTTTATCGTGGACTTAAGGCATTTGTGTGCCCATGGACAGGAGCTGCCACCTGTAGTTGTATTGCGACACACAGCCGCCCACTGTTTGGAATGGCTGCGTACATTTTACTGGCTTCCGCAAAAAGAGAGCCTGAGTAATTTGGATGCGCCAAAACTGCAGCGAAAGGATGTTGTCAAATTTGAGAATGAGCTGGGAATTCTGTTTGAAATGTTTGATTTGGCGTTAGAATGCCAACTAAAGGGAGCACAAAAGCTGAAGATGATCAGTAAACTCAAGCCTAGCGCGGAGTTCAACAAAATTCGAGTTTATTGTTCCACAAGAAAACTGAAGAGTACAAACGAAATCATAGATACTGTAGTGAACGAACTGGGTATAGCTGTAAAATGCCAAAATTCCACAATGAAGGATTTGGTCGACATTTATATGGCTGGTGTACTTAAAATGAACTATTTCCTTGGCGCAGGCCTTGCGCACAATGAAAGCGAGGAGCTCGTAATTAAGGCCACCCAGGGCCTCTTCCGACTTCTGGCCAAACAGGGTTACATTGAAAATATGTTCGTTGCCTTCGTACAATTATCAGAGAATGCAAATGAATGTGATGAGAGGCGACGAGGCGCGAGTTATTGGGCTACAAAGATGTTACAGACTTTTGGCATGCTGTGCCGAATGAAGCGTATGTACAAAGAGGAATTGGATATGGTAGGTATCTTAAGTGGACAGTACAATTTCTACAACACTTTCTTTCTTTATAGAACTCCAACTTCAAGGCAGTAGATTTTACGACACTTAATAAATCTGAGATATCAAAAACTATGCGTCGTCTGCTTATCCACTCGGGAGTGGATCAGACTCTCACCTTGGTATTTGGCGAATGTGCTAAGAAGCCTCGCTCTTGGGTATTTGAACGAGAATTTCTAATGAATAGATTGGGTCCTTTAAATAAATACTCAGTGCCCGTCTTGAAAGGGTACTATTATTACTATTATTCAGTTAACAATTGACTCTACATTTAGTTATTTCAATTTCAGTTTGCTGCCTCTCGTGGTTCCGCCTCTAACAGAAGAACAAATTGAAGATTTTACAAAGCTTTGTACCGTTAAAATGCTGGACACAAATGAGGAGAAACCCCTTAATGTTAAAAATCAATCTACGGGGGGTACCAAAAGTGATAATTCGGATGAAACCGAAACTGAATTTGGCATATGGAAACTGGATAAAGGTTAGGAACGGTTTTAACTGAAATATGCATTTTTTCACTAAAATTTATTATAGACAATGCCTGGTCAAGATGTGCACTTGGAGTACTGCCAACAATTGCAAATTAAGTGGACTTCTTTAAATAGTGAACAAAATAGATAAATCTAAAAAGCCTTTAAAAAAATGGAGTTCAATAAAACTACATTTGAATAATATAGTTGAGCGCCAAATCTACTTCATTTATTTTTACCATTCCTAGCGACATTCTACAAATCGTTTATCAACACTAGCGCTGCTCAAGAACCAAATTTGTTTACGCATATTACAATTGAATGCTGCATTAAAAATGGATTTTCAACGGAGCGATGCTATCCTTATGGAAATATTGGAGGAGCGCAAGACAATCACCGGGTTTTTAGACACTGTATTTGGTTTCTTGAGACGCAAGTAATAAATACTCCTAAATAATAAAATGGATAAGGAAAATTCAAACTATTTTGTAGCACCGACTTTTATCATACCAAAAAGGATGCGTCAGACAAAATCGGGTTTCCCAAAGGAATGAGGGATCAAATTTTATATGGCGCAATGCAGCGCTATGACCCTGAGTGTTGGCTACAAGCTATGAGCGCTGAAAGCAATATTGATGATACTGGGGAGAATGTGCCGCCTGCTACACAGGAAATCTGTGTAGAGACTTCAGAACAAATGCCAAAAAGCCAGCTAACAAGGCCAAGTGTGAACGTGAGCGACTCAAGTCGTGCGTTTGAAATTGGTGACTTTAAGAATGGCGCCGTCTTTGAGCATCATTGCTGGTCTCAGACACTAAAGGATTTGGAGGTGCAAGTTCAGCTCCCACCTGCTCTAAAAACTGCCAAACAACTGACCATCGACATCAAAGCACAGCAAATCAAGGTCAGCAGTAAAACTACACCGGTACAGGTAATCCTAGAAGGCACACTTAGTCAGCGCATCAGACAGAATGAAGCCATGTGGTCCATAGAAGATGGCAGGTTGCTGATCTGCTGTGGTAGGTATTTCAAACCACTGCCAGACCAAATTTTAATCGGTTGACTCCGCAGACAAAGTAAAGGAGCGATGGTGGGAGCGGCTCTTTGAGGGTGACAATGAGATCGATATAAAAAAACTGGACTGCGAGCGATATATAGATGAACTGCCGCAAGACTCTCAAGTGGCTATTGAAAAACTGCGTGTGCAACAGATGGAATCGGATCAGAAACAGAATCACTTGCGTACTACAGATCCGGAGCAGGCCAAAACGTTAGAACGCTTGCGTACTGCGTGGGATGCTGAAGGCTCCCCGTTTAAAGGACAACCCTTTGATTCGTCGGTGGTGCGAATGAGTTAGTTGTTTATTAGGTACATAAATATAGTTGAGATACTAAAACGTGTGTTGTTTAAATTAAATTTGTAGCAAGGGAAACTTTGTGTTAATGGTGTCCTTAATGAGCTTTTAACTCTTGTTTCTTGCGCTGCAGCTGCTTCCTTTGGTAGGCGATATCAGTCTGATCTGAGGACCAAGCTACATACATGTACGTGGTAAGTAGCACAGCGAGCAGCAGTCGATCAAGACTCATTACATTGGTGGCAAACAGAATAAGGCTGAATCCCACAAAGGACGGATGACGCACATGAGTGTAAAGGTTTCGCAGCTCAAGCGACTTGTAAGCTATGGGCTCCAAGTAGTTATGTAGATCGTAATAGGTCTGTTTGATGCCTAGCAACTCTCCCAGATCCATTATGAAACTGCCTCCGTAAATAACAGTCCAGCATACACCATGAGTTATAACAAAAGTCCACCAAAGCGGGACGCTTTCATCCACATTGATCTGCCAGAGTACAATCGATTGAGCAGGCACCCAATTTTGCACCAGATACTAAGCGAAGAAGCAGAATTTGTTGATGTATACGGAAACTCAAGGCTATTATGCTGTATATACGTACATGTAAACAAAGCGATGACGTGAGTGTATAAATAGTTCGCTCTGCTGGAGCCAAACGCAATTTGCGCAGCAGATTCTTCACTATTGCTGACTTAATGAAGCTGTGCTGAAATATGAATCCGATGACATAGAGAGTGTCGAATACAATTGGTCCATATGCGGTTTCCAACCGCGACTTATTATCCAATAAATTAAAGATCCAGGTGTGTGCTGTTGAAATTGATCGTGGCTTGGATAGAAATAGTGTCAATTTTCCGACCACATAAAACGTGTAACAGAATGTGACTAAAGAGGCTAGCAATACAATGAACTTTACAAATGAGGCCATTATAGTTGCGCTGTGATTTATTATTTAAATAAAATACAAATAAAAATCAGACAATAAACCGAAAACAATTTAACGCGTCTCGTTGCAAAGAATATCGCTGTGTTGGAAAACGTTTTTAGACTGGCAATGGATGGTCGCCCCAGAAACACAATCAGCTGTTTGTGCGCGTCTTTTAGTGATTGGCAAGTGTGGCTTTGAAACTGACGTCAACAATTATTTAGTTATTTTTTATTTATCTTAATTGGTTGTAAAAATGTTTACACTGTGGACACTGATTGAGGCTTCACTGCTCTGCTTAAATGCAGTTTGCATATTACACGAGGAGCGTTTTTTGGCCAAGTGTAAGTAACTGAAGGCTGAAATCTGTAAAACTGACCTAGAAATGTTAAATTTACAGTTGGCTGGGGACGACACGCCGGTCAACAGGATTTCGGAACCCCTAGTGCTAAGGATCAAGTTCTAAATCTCATTCGTTCAATCCGCACAGTTGCCAAGAGTGAGTATATATATAATTAAATGTATTTACGTAAAACAAACCGAATATAACTAACACGTGTCCATGTTTTTAATTTTACAGTTCCACTGATATTTCTTAACGTAATAGCTATTATATTTAAATTGTTACTTGGGTAAAACTTAAATTCTATTGTAATAAATGTACTAGTAATGATTTTCGGAAAATTCGCAATTATTATCCTACGTGCTGATTCGATTTGCGCTGCAGCACACACTTAACTCGGTTTTCTAGAGCTATGCTGTATGCGTCCAACTTGTAAGCAGCCGCCTCCAACTTGTCCACAGCGTCTGATATTTCATCAATTTGCTGCATGAGGGGTGCCAGCTGTTGAAACTTGCCGCACAATTCGTTAGTGGATACGTTGAGGTTCTCTGCTATTTGACGCATGTCCTTGTACTTGGCTATGGTTGCCTTATTCATTTCCTCAAGCAATTTATAGTCTTCTAATGGCGCATTAAGCTCGTGCGTTATATATTCTTCTGTTTTTTGGAACATTTTCGTAGCCAGTTTACTGAGATTTGGGTCATGGGCGTGGGCCAATGCTTCGAAACTAGAGGTTGAAGTTGATAGAGTGGGGCCCCGCATCGGTGAGTCAAGTAGCGGATTGTGGTCCTGATCCTTTGCTTGAGAAGCGTTAGCGCTTGTTGTTGGCTGCTCTTTATCCATGTTGCTCGACAAATTTTCCAAATAATTATAGCAACAGCTGATGTTACCGACTTGAAGTGAATGCTAACCGCATCTAACACTTCGAATAGCAAATGCACGCGTATACTTGTGAACGGCTAATATTGTGGCGCTCATAAAGTTTGTGGATTATTCTTATCGGAATGAAATCAGTTTATTTTTGCCTGTGCTTAAGATAACGCACAATAATGTCTAAGCAAAATAATGAGCTGAAGCTTAAGCATCTTTTTGATGGCGGTGAATGGAATGTATACGATCCAAGTGTATTAAATTTGGGTGTAGGTGCTCCAGGCACTGATCTATTGGAGCCCTGTTGTGATATTTTTGATCAAGCTACAGCTCATTGTTTGGTTAGTATTGATCGCTTTTAATACTTATCAGATATAGACGTTATTTGAAATGACCTTCGGCTATATCCAGAAAAATGAAAAGGTAGTCAACCAATCTCTAATATTTCAATATGGACCAACAAACGGTACTCATAAAATACGAAACGAAATCGCCAAGTACTTAACCGAAATGTATGAGAGCCCCGTTCACAGGTAACAATGTGATGTTATAGTTTAAAATTTGCACAACTGTAGATAATCCCACTTTCAGCGAAGACCTGATAGTCACTACTGGCGCAAGTCAAGGCTTGCATTTCTTGCTTTCCACTATGATCGACTTTAATGGATATATATTCGTGGATGAGTACACATATATGATTGCTTTGGACAGTATGAAACATTTTTCGAGTCTTACGATTGTTCCTCTTAAGCTGAACGACGATGGTGTGGACCTGAACGATCTGGAGGTAAAAGTAAGAGATCGGCGCTTCAATTCGGAGAAGAAAGAGTTTTGGGCCATTTATTATACAATACCCACATATCATAATCCTACTGGCATATTATTCTCACCGAGTAAGTATTAAATTATGAAAACATATGCTTTAATTAATAAGCTCTATGTCTGTCCATTATTTTCTCTGCCAGCTGTTTGTCGCGGAATTGTGGAACTTTCTCGGAAATACGACTTTTTAGTATTGTGCGACGATGTTTACAATATTCTACATTATGGCAATAAACCTTTGCATTCGCGTCTGCTGTCTTATGACTCACGTACAGATGCGGACTACGTTGGCAATGTCATTTCCAATGGCAGCTTTTCTAAGATTATTGCACCTGGAGTTCGCTTAGGCTGGTTGGAGGTGCCTCCGCGTGTTCAACCGCAGCTTCTTCGCAGTGGGATCATAAACAGCGGTGGTTGTTTCAATAACTATACAGCTGGAATTGTTGGCAGTCTATTTGAACTAAACCTGGCTCAACCGCATATTGCACGACTCTATGCTGCTTACAAGGATCGCATGTTGGCCGTCAACAAGGTATTAGAGTCTGAATTACCCAAAACCTGTAAATGTTTAGTGCCTTCTGGTGGGTATTTCATTTGGATACGGATGCCGGACCATTTGAAGGCTAGCGAGTTTCTGGAATACTGTTTGAAGCATGAGAAGATTACATTCATTGCTGGACCACGATTTGCTGTTGAAGAGGGTAAGGGAGAGCAATTCTTTCGTCTATCCATAGCTTTTCACAAGAAAGAAAAACTTGTGGATGGGATAATTCGTCTGTGTCTGGCTCTGAAGTCCTATATGAATATTGTTAAGACGTAAACTGTTTTTGTTTTTTTAATATGGCAAAATAATTGTAATTAATTTTTGTTTGTTATCGTATTTTAAATAATGCTTAAAAATATACGACTTAGAACTTAATCATACAGTTATAAATTATGAACAAATACAATATGTGTATGTAAAAATTTTTGGGCACAATGCTTAAAAATATCACAAATTTGATACATTATTTTTACAAATATTGAAATTTAACTTTACGAATCAGTAGTTTACATGCAGTCCCTCGGTACAACACCCTTTCTTTGCTATTTGGCCAATTTGACAAGCGTGTTAAGAATGTTTACCGATATCGTATTCGATATTGTGTGCTTAATACTTTGCTTGTACGACAATTGCGTGGCGGCAAATTCGAAGGAATAAAAAATAACAAATTATTTAACTTAGAATCATTGTCAAGTAACCAACTATTCGGTGAAAGTGAGAACAATCTCCTTGAGAGAGGTATACGTGCCAATAACAAGACCAAGAATGCCTACAATAATCAGCACAAAGTTGCCTAAAAAGGAAAGATATATAATCATAAGCACAAGAGGAATAAGATCAAAAACTTACTTAACAGCAGCCAGCCCTTAGCCAGTCCAGTCGTCTCGTACCAGTGCGTGGAAATCTGAATCAGAGCGGGAAATGCTAGCCCCAAAGCGGATAAGCACAGAGCACCGAAAAGCGAAATGAAGAGCTCCAGATTGGGTATGGCCACGGCGAGCAGAACTGCATGATCAATCAGATACTTATAAATGTCATAAAAAATTGTCGAGCTACTTACAAGTGATCAGCACTAGGCCGGTACGCACGGCATATTCCCAGAACAGCTTATTACGTTGGGGGCCCAACTTCTTACCAACGTAATCATTCCATGTGATGTCAATGGCCACGTAACAGGCCAGGCCGTGTGTGATATAGATGGCAAATGCTAACATGGCCTTGACGCATTGCGCTGGGCTGTATAGGGGACAAACGTGAGTTTTACTTAAAAATAATATTTTCACCTTTCTTACATTTCATGTTCCGGCAGATTCAGAGTGATGGAACCCAGCACACTGGAACCGTAATTCAGATATCCGAATAAGCCCATTCCCACGTACAAGAAAACAATCCATACCATTGATACATTCAGAACACCACAGGAACCGCCAAACTTGTGCGGAGTTTTCATCTCATTCTCAAGAGGCAAAATTACGCCAATGGCCTCCAAGGCGAACAAAACCGTTCCAAAGAACAACGGGAAGTTCTCCACCTTGCCAAAGGCATCTTTGCCCTCAGTTGTAACAGGCTCACGGAATATATAGTAGCAAATGAAGGCAAAAGATACCATTGTTATGAAATTGGCTAGTGTGGAGAAGGGCGCTAGGTACTTCAGCTGTCGCACCCAATTGATGAGTATTAGTGGTATCAATATGATTATCATGCACAGTCGTACGTCCACGTTTGTGTCGTAGACGGCATCCACAATGGACTTTATGTTGGACGCAACAAACACCACGTAGACACAGCATGTGCCAAGTTGGTAAATCAGCAGAAATACATTCACTACGGTGCCTATATAGGGTGCACAGGACTTAAAGAAAGAGGGACCTTCTCCTAGCGCTGTTTCCGCTACAGCTGGATAGTTCATACTGGGCACCTGTGGGAATTATACAGTCAGCAAAGCTTCCAATAGAGATACAATTAACGATCAGCTTACCTTCTTACGCCGACACAGCTCATACTCTGCCTTGACCAACTGATGTATACAGTATGTGCATATGAAACCGATCACAATGGTGCCTATGGACCCCGTCACATAGCCCGAGTTGCGGAAGGCATTTGGCATAGCCAGAATACCAGTGCCCAGAGAACCCTTCAACAAATGAAACAGGGTTTCCCAGTTGCTAATCACAGTATAGAATTATTAGAATGGAGTAAACTTTGCATGCCTGTTAAACTTACGTTGTGGGATGGGGAACATCACGATGCTCGTAGGGATTGTAGTCGGGATCTTTTGCAGCACCCTTCTCTGCAAGCTCCAGTGAGTACTTGTTACTACTCTGCTGCTTAATGTTATCCACATGCTCGCTGACAAATGCCGGATTATTGTGTCCATTTTTAGTCATGACTGACAAGGTAAGAGAGAGAGGAATAAAAAAATAAATGTGGGATTTCAGCGAAAGTCTTACTCCAAAGAAGGAGCTATAAAAATATTGAATGGAAATTTGTATAGAAATTATGTTTCTATTGATTGTTCGTCTGTCCTAACACTAAATCCTGATTCAACTCAGTAATTACAACTTTACTAAATATAGGAGAGCTACCCTTATCGAGCGGGTTACTGTATTATATATTACGTATATTATATCCAGCTTGTGTAAAAATACATTTGTTAGATATGGGCCTATATAATATAAAGGCTTCGTCGTACTGTTTGAATAGCAGTTCAGTGTAAAGAATTATAAATGAATAATGGGTAATGTATATTACTGATATAATCATTTTATATAATTTTATATACTCATTTTAAGATAATATTTATGATAGGGAAAAGGAGCCGTTGCAGACCCTACGGCGGACTAAGATTCGATTAAGCCGTGCCCGTCTGGTCGTCTAGCTATCCATATGAAAGCAACGATCTCGTAAACTACTATATTTGAAATTGTTTCAAATAATAAATATTTATGCTTAGGCACAAATAAAATTAATTATCAAGCTTTAAAAATATGATTGACAAAGTCCAACAAGAAGTAAACTCGTTGTATTACCACAGTAGCCCAGTGTGCTTCTGTGTTCAGGGTATTTCCTAGTCGGGCACTACCAACTTGAGATCTTTTTCGTTGGCATTATTTAATTTCTGTCACTTCATAGAGATCGCTATCTATCTAAGAGCAGCAAATGCAGCTGAAAATAGCCTGACATATATCTAAATTAAAAACAGGCCCAGCGCAATGTCAAGTTCAGTGTGGCGGAATCATTGCCCTCGTCAACAGAGCCGCGCCAGGGCACATAGACGCTATTGTGTGCGCGCTTGAAATGTGTTTGGAAGTGTAAGAGAGAGAGAGATGGATCGAGTGAGGGGTGGAGGGAGGGAGAGGAAGAGAGTATTAAAGATAGAGGGACGGAGGGAGAGAGACAGAGAGACAGAGAGAGTGTGTGTGCATTTGTGTTTGTGTATGTATAACATCACCAACAACTTGTTGTAAATGAAACGTGCTAACATTTTCTAATTGCAGCCAATTTTACTGTCACTTGTAAGTGGCTTTGGACTGTACGTACATTGTGGTGATTTCATTTAGTGTTTGGTATGGTTTAGCTTAGCTGTTGCCGTTACCCCTTTTTATAAGCAAGAAAACGTTGTCGTTATCTATCTACATCTACAAACAAATAATAATTGCTTAAGGCTTAATTAGAAAATATATTCGTCTGACGTGCACAATTTGACATTTTATTGCCGACTATTAGGCACAAGATCGTAGTTGAGATAAAATCTAAATCTCAGTCAAATATTCCCGAATGCTAGAAGTACGAAATTTTGCCAATCAAAATATCTGTAGACCTATGGCAATTTTTCCGGTTTTGAGAGCAATTACTATATTCAATTACATCAGTTGACTTCTCGACTTTCACATATATTTATACATATACATATATATAGTATATACAGTGAATCGGTTGAATGCATGCATGCATAATGAATGCATTTTATTCGAAAAATTTCCAACTGCACTGACTTATATAACTAACTAAGGCAGAAGGTCATTCGAAACTCATTTATCGATGGGCTTGTCTTAAATTGAATGATTAAATGATTTTATTATATGTTAATCAACACATTTTCGACACCCACTGTGGTACGGAAGTTGAAATGATGCATAATTTCAAGTAAAGCTGGTTTTTTGTTCTAGCCAATAGTTTTAGGTACTCAAGTCTGAGGCATGCGGAAGTCATAAAAACAATGTAGCCAAATGACTATGGCGATTGGCTTTCAGGGCAAATCTTAAAAACTCCGATATGCTTAAGGCATTACAAATGCTGTCAAACAATAAGGATACAACTTGGGAGATGACTTTATCTTAAATAAAAGAATAATAAAGCTTTCGAAATTATATTCAAAGCTTGGGGAAACCAACTAACTTTGACTTTTTTGAACACTCTAACAGACTTAGGAATTACATAGAAAAATTGAGAAATTCTATAAAGAGGGATAGACTAAAAGCGTTTTTGTAAGAAATAAAAGAAGCGTAAAACGAGAGACAATGCAAGAATAGACCTAGTCAGCATCTAAAAATAACAAATAATAACTTTCTAATCTATAAATTACGTATGCCCATAACATTAGAGTTGCTTGTTTTTTTATATTTTTCCTTTTAAATAACGTCACAAACTCACTTATTTCTAGTTGTTGTACCTAATTTCTCAGAAATACTTCAGATAATTTATTCATCAGTAATTTATGCGAAACTTTACTTTTAAAATAAAGCAAAAGAAAAACTTCATAGTTTGTTTTATTAATGAACTGCAACCGGTTCAAACTGGATGCGTGCTGTCTTTCGCACCGAACCTTTTGGCCAAAACAGAGAGGCAAGAAAAACTTGTATGCCAGCCAAAGACCCAATACGTTTAATAAATTCCATTTGACAAAACACAAATCAAAATCGATTTTGTCTAAATGCGCAATACCATTCAATGCAAATTCACCTTCGATGAATAATATAATTAGCAGAATAGCACACAAACAACTTTTAGCAAATATTCAAAATTCCCATCGATATAGTCCGATTGGATGCGGTGCACGTGAAATGCTATAGTAAGAGCAAAATGAACTAGATATGTTCGCCGAAGAGCAGATACTCTTATTTTCACATTCGTATTTTCGCACCTAGCCATAGAACAGAAAATTGACTTAGTTAGGGTTTATAACTTAAAAACTGAATCAAACTATAAATAATATCTTTTTTAAGACTAGTCATTTCAAATAGAACTTTTAACACTTGTATGGTAACATTAACAGTAAATTGTTTACGCGTGAGATGTCATTAAAGTCTAAACAAGTTTTGAACAATATTCACTTTGACATTCAAGATGTTAATCTGTTGACCTCCTTAATTTGAGCTAATGCTATTAATACATAGGACCTACTGTGAGCTTGGCAAATGAGAAATAATATATTTATCACTGTTGCGGCCAACACAAAGTTTTGCAAGCTTCCGATCAGTTCTAAGTTTTTTTAGTTAGATCAATTCATGGTATATTTAGATTGTGAACAGGTCTTTGGCAGGGGTTAAATCAATATTGTTTCACAGTTTATTTTATAGCCAATAAATAAATAAATATTTATTTATATAGTTTGTAAAATGTCAGATATCTTCTACATTTCGTGACAGAAAGTATAATAAAGCCTATAACACAAATATTATGTTATGCTTTGAGTCGAGCATAAGAACAGACTCGCTTGCAGGTACTGATCGAAAATATATATAGATTTATTTTTTGATGCAGTTGTCAACTTGTGGGTGTTACACATTTCGTGATACAAATTATAATACCCTCTACAAGTGTATTTAAAATAAGAAATATCTGCAAACTCAATCAGCACGCGACATTTTATATAATTTGTGCTAAGCGCTTCGCAAGATCTGCCGACGGGTTCGAGTTCAATGAGCCAAGTTTACTGGCCGGCCTTTGTAGAGTTTCTGTTATTATTATTTTCTGTTTGAAATTCAACAGTCATTTGTCAGCGACGTGTTTGCAATATCAATTGGTCATGCTTATGACGGCTTCTCGACAATCAGCAGCAACAGCTTCTGAGCTTGAAAAAGTTGTTGGCCTTGCTCTGAATTTTCGTTTGAACTTTTATTTAAATTTATTAAATAAACGAGTGTGCAATACGTAACAGTACCTTTATTCTACTTAAATTTAGTTAATATTTTATGCTCTTTTTAATTTTTTAATTTTATAATTATAAGACCTTTACATGTCAGAATGTAACTGCTATATCATTTTATTTCAAATTATCGACACATGTCGTTATCAACCTATTGCTAGTAAGTTTATTTTTATTTTTAAATTTAATTTAATGGATATTCGAAACGCTCTAAGTGCAAAACAATGTGATTTCTTTCAATATTTGTTTGACATTGAGAACATTTTCCAATTATTTTATGGCAAAACCTGTATCGACGGAACATTTACGCATATCAATTATGTGCGTTTGACTGACATTTAAATTTTAGTAAAACTCAGTATTTAGCTTAAGCTCAGAATACTTAACTGAAGGCTGTACCACTTTTTTGAAGTTAACCTTCATTATAACCGTATTCTTGTAACAAATATTATTCAAAAATATCAAAAATATAATTAGTTCTTTATTTATTGGTTTAAATTATTCTGCTTTATAATGTCATTTTGGAAAACCACATTTATAAGAAAGAAACAAAAATATTCCATAACATTTGCCACTTGATTAAATTCAAATGATATTACACAAAATGATTTTGGTGGTTCACAAATTCGCTCATGAGTAAGCTTTTTTGGACCTGAAGCACGCATAAATTGGTATGAAGTGGAGTAACCAGTATTGGATATAACATGAAAAGTAGATTCCGCGCATTCCAGACGAATTGCTGTTGCTGCACAAATTAGACCCTACTCTCGAAGCCATTTGAATGACGTGCTATTCCGAGCGGTTTAATAGTATTGATTCTATTTTCATCTATACTTAATATAATATATGTAAAATTAATTATACTACAATGAGCTTGGCTTGGATTGGGATTGTTCTATTTTCATACACTTGATCAATAATTTGCGTCGACAGTTTCGACGCTTTGTTGTGCTAATTTTAAGTGCAATTAATTTAGATTTACAAAAGAGCTTTTCTCGTTGACTCGTTCAAGCTTAGTCAGAGTCCGGGCTGAGAGTGTGCACTCAAGCTTGACTCCGAATTTTTGTTTTTTTTTTAGATGTTCCAGCTACGCTGAGCTATAAATTTGCAAATGCTGTGACACTTCCGTTGTTAATTAACCGCAAAAGTTTAATGCATGAGGGTTGAGATACTACCTACAAATATGACTTACCGATGAGCCTAAGAACAGATGAATTTTTTAATAATTTACAAGCAAAATGAAAGAGTATTTTTAATTATCACCAGTTCGCACGAGTTGGCTCGATTTTTTCTATAACTTTTTATTTGTATATTACAGAATTTTGCGAAAATAACAGTAAAGATGATAACTGCAATGAAACCCCGAAGCAGAAACCCCGAATATGAAAACAAGTGTTGCCGGTGTCAAAGGTACCGAATCTGACTTAAACGATCCACGTTTTGCGATGTGAACGATGTGATCGAGTTGCCCGCGCGCTAACGACTAAATCAGATCCAACGTGGATCACCGGTTTTATGCACTCCGCGAAATGTTGCCCCCAGATTGTAATGCCAGCAAGCAAGCAACCAACTAACCACTCATGAATACTCGTTCTCTCAGGGTACGGGGTAGCTGCACCACCAGTCCCATGGAAAAATTACACCAGTGACAAAATGTAACTTAAATTTTTAAATAACGTCGTTTCGCACAGAATTCATTGTAATCATTGTGAGCAGCTATAAAATTACTCACTAAAAACTTTTGGATAAAATGCAAACAAAAACCCAAATGAGAGTGAGAGCAGAAGTAAGTGAGATATATAGCTTTCAGCTACTCAAATGTGTGCGTAGATGGTCCAAATTAAAATTATTCTTTCATATAATTGGAGTGTACGAAATTTAGCTTGGTCCATCTACGCGTACATTTGAGTTGAGCTCAAAATATTTACTCAAGCTCTTAAAGGCAGTTCCGACTGGACAACTTATTTTTTAGAATTTACAGCAAAGCGAATGATGATGCTTGTCTCTGGAGCCCCGAATAGCTGAAATAAATTTTAAGCCTTTTTTGTACAAATTCTCAATAAAGTTTAGTTTTTTAATGTTATACTATTTTTAAAATAGTTAATTAATTACCTATAATTATTAATTACTTTTAAAATAGTGTTAAAGTCTTAGAAATATTTCCAATTATATAATTGTGTTTTATTCAAATCAATTCTGTTTAAGATTTAGATTAGAATTAACTTAGCTAGTTTTTTAATATACGTAAGTTAGCTTTAAATCATTATTTTTGTTTTCTTTTTATAAAGTCAGAGTAATTTTATTTACTAACGTATTTGGTGTTTACTCTCAGTCATCACATTGTCGTTGGCATGACACAAAAAAAAAAACAATTACGCTAATTGTAAGCATGATGCGTGTTGTCTCTTAATGCGTAAACAGTAATAAAAATAAAAAACAACTCAGACTCAAATCAGTTGAACGCTTTCCAGTCTTGGCAGGCCCAAGCACAAAAAAGCCGTTGCCAAATATTCGACCACTGCTGCTGGGATTCGTAACAATGGTAAGACTACATAAAGAACCAGTACGAGCTGAGGTGTAAGGTGCTTTCAGCTGGCACTGTATGTAACTAAAGTGGCTGATCGTTTTGTTGTTGCCAAAATCTGCAATTAACATTTTTTGGTTTTTTGTTAGTGCCGCTGGGGCTGCAGTGCCTTAATGCACTTTCTCAGGCGAGCAACCGGTTTGCTAAAGAGAATTTGCGCGCTTGCGCCAAATTTCATTTACAGCGGCGGCCTTCCAATAGTTTTGCATGCATTGCGCATACGCCGTGTGTTACAATTACAGTTACAGTTTCTTGGATATCGAACAACACTGAGCTACAATGCTAGTGTGTGAGCGTGAGCATAGTCGAAAGCCGGCTAGCCATTGGTCCATGCCCATGTCTAGCTGCTGCTAAAAACCGGTCAGGCGTTACACGGACTCTGACGTAGTCTCGTTTACCCCATTATCACCGACTTGAACATGTTTCGCCTGTGACGTCAACATCGAGTTGGTAGTCTCGTGAATCATATGAGTATGCAAACCAACCAATTGAAGATGCCGATCATCCGTCCAATTGCTATCTACGCACATCACACAATATTATTCGTCTGTCATCTTTGATCCGAGCTTCTGGTACCAATGTCCGTGTCTATCCATTTAAAGGGGAATAGCTTCATCGATAAACAACAGGTGCTAAGAGTTGCCTTCAAAAGATTTGAGAAATTGATGCTAATTTGGAAGCAACCGGAGTTTCCTCTAATGCTGCCAAATCGTTTGAAACCTGCTGAAAAAGTAATTAAATTATCAATTCGATTTGCGTTGTTTATTAAGATTAAATTGCATAATTAAAACTGGATTTTTTGGTTTGTGAAATACTTTTAAATCTAATTGAGAATTTCCGCACAAGTGCTGCCCTAAGCAAATTATATTTTTTTGTTAAGTAAAAACCTTTTAGCTGAAGCGTAAGCAGGCCAATTATCTGGTTGACCACAAAATACGCTAATTAAATGGTTTAATTTGCACGCTCACGGGCAAATAAAATGTAGATAAATATGAATTGCATCTAATAATTAGACGCGAAAATCGCGTATGCGATAAACAGTTGTCGTATTGTAATTGACGCAGGCTAGATTGTGATAAATATAGAAATAAATACACGGAAAATAATAATAACAATAAAAAGATACTTCCATTACACTGAAGTATAAAGTACTACATAATTGAAAATTGTTTTCGCCATGAACTTGTGCGATCATCAACAATTCCATTACACTAATAAACACGTGCCGTTAACTTCAAATTAGAACCGTGTCGCAGTAGCCCTTAAGGGTCGCTGGAAGGGTCAAAGCCATGCGAAATATATGTAAAAATATTTGTATAATATATAAATAAAGGTATATACAGCTTTATAAATATAAAGATATATGCACTTTAATTTATATTCAAGACTTTTCAGTTTCCGTTCCGTGCTCATTGACAATGAGAGATTGAGGTACTGGTATTGATAAAATGGATGTAATAATCAGAAGAATTCGACGCAAATTCCTTGAAATATATATATTGTTAATCAGGATCAACGGCGCAGTAGATATTGTCTTGCGCATCTCCCCTTCCTGAGCGTTGCTCCTCCCTGCTTTAGCCGTATGTATACAGCTATCGGTTAAATGAAGTCGTGTACATCTATTTATTATGTTTATATATATATATACATATATAGTGTATATGCAGTTCTCTCAGTACTTAATGCGGCTCAGGGTATATTCAAGTCAGGCACTCCCTACTATAGCACTTCGACTTGATGTTTTTTTAGAGCTTGTCCTTTGTTTCTATCAGTGTGATATTGAGATCTTGCTGTTAGCCACCCATGGCTCATCTGGCATATGCAAGTGGTGGCCTAATTGAATGATTACCTTGTTATTGTCAATTTGTGGGACATCTCATATCTCAACTATTTCACGTATTATATACTTAATAGGAATTTAGCGTGCAACTAAAATCAAGTAAAAAATTGCGCATAGCGCTTTTCGGCATACCGTAAAATGTAAAACTGGGTGATGTTGATTTGTCTGCGGTTCCCGCTCCTAAAACTAACGTACACAATTAAGGGAAATGAAAATTTAGAGCTGACTAGCTTCAAAGTACGAGTTTCGGTCTATCAAAAATCGGGGCTAGTTCTCTAAAAAGAATATGAACACAAAATATCTCAACTCAATTCGCAACTGTTCGCGGAATTGGACATATTGTTGTAGTTACTTTGATTACAATTGTTCAAGACTTTACAACTTGTAAGCACATGTTGGCAGCTAGATGTTTTGTGCACTTGTACACGCTTGGCACGAGGTGACGTTGAAATCAGTTTGCTTAATCTTGGCAGCCGCATGCCAAAACTGACTAATTGAACAATAACCACTCCAACACTAATCTGAGTGAAATTGGTGTGTGTTTTGCTTCCCTTAACTATTTGAGATAAGCAATGGCTAATCACTCTGCTAGTTGGCCTACAAAAATGTCTCCATTTTATCAGCTTGGCAGGTAAACATTTGTCGGTCTCTCTGAGTCTATTCGCACGTTTCGTTGTCTGCATCACCAATTGTACTGAATAATTTGCATTGAGAAACAAAAGCAAAAGTATGCCAAACCAGACAAGTACTGGCTAGCAGACGTAATTTCAATGTTAATGTTAAGCCACCGCCATTGCCAGGCGTTTTATGTGTATTCCAAATAATCTCAGTCTCGAAACAAAATTCGATTATCTGGCACAGCAGGCTGCATCAATAAAACTCACTCAGGTAGTGAGCGGGTTTTGAGTGCTTTTTATAATTTTCTGCTTCTTCTTATTTTTTCGAATGGAGTGCAGTTAGTTGAAATGTTGAGTACATTGGTATACGCTTTGTGCTTAAAACGGAATGTATTGTAAGATTTGCGCGTTTATTCGGTGCACGCCGATCGCCACATAAACAACATATAGTCGAACAACGCGACGTATACTTAACTTAATTGTTTTACGAGTTCAGTGTAGAAAGGAACGTGATTAAAAATTACGCTGGCCGTAATTTTTGGATCAACTATGGAACCTAACACTGATCAAGTAAGTTCTTACCAACCCGAAAAGTGCCTTTATCAACTTTCAATGATAAGTGCCAGATTGTGCGAGACATATTTATGATTTCACTATCGTATAATGCTGATTTTCAATCAAATTTTGCTGTCGTGTGCCCAATTTTTATGTGATTAAATAAATATTAGGCTGACAAAAATCTATTAAAGTGATAACTAAACGCGGTGAGTCCTTTGTGTTGCTGTTCACATCCACTGTTTTGGAGCAGCATGTGCTTAAATATATCATCTGTCTGGCGATATGAGACAACAGTAAACAATGCCAACGACATTTCAGTAAAATTTCTTATCATCTCGCCTTATTTGGATTGCCTAGTGGTACTTTATATGATGACAAGAAGCGGCAGTAGCCCGACCGTCAAGTTACCTAATAGCCTCCCTGTGCCAAGTGCATTGAGTGGATTACTGTAATGACTCGCATAAAAGTGGTACACCATATAATTGATAACTTGTTATTAACAACAATAGCAGTTAAGCATATTCACATGGGATTGAGATTGTAAAATGTTGTCTGCTAGCTGAGCACATTACATTACATTTTCGTTCTGTAGACTATATAAATTCTACATTTCTCTTTTTCATTGCACTGCTGTCAGTCAGTATTATGCAAATCAGTTCTATATTTTACTTCCTTAAAATTGCAACATAAACTTGTTTCCTCAACATGAAGATACTTGCAGTAACGTAATCTAATATAATACCAATGGAAATTTTGCACCAGAACAACTTTATCATTTCTGTTTAGTTTGACTTGGCATAAAAATGGGTATTGCATATATTTAATATTCCCGCTGTAAATATATATTTCTATTTTCTATATTGTATTTATAAAAATCTTTTTTTATACAGCTCTAATTTTTTATTTTGGTAACATTGCTGTGAATTCAATGTCATGATTCACTATTTTATTTATAGAAATTTATTTAAATAATGGAAAACTGATAAAACAGCCAAAATAGCTAGAAATAGGCTAATCAGTCTGGTTTTTAATTAAAGGAACATATGGC